GTGCACATGTAAGTGTTATAATAATTATAATTTTGGTAGAGACAAGTATTAATGTATTAGATGAAAGAGGTACAATTTTTTTATTAGTGATAGTAAATATAGCTCCCTATTTTAAAGGTTGTATTTCTTCTCTTATAAACTGTCTCTTCTGTCACTTGCCCATTTATCTATAAAACTACAACATGACATTTCCTACCAGTGGTTAGAAAAGTGTAGAACATTATTGAAATGCGTAGCATTGTTATTTATCCCTTATTTATTTAATACAAAGACTTTTTTTCAGAGATTCCTCCTTGACCACAGTTCGTCGTTCTAAATTTTAAAAGAGGAAAATAGGAATTTAGCACAGTGGGGACCTGCTGCCACCTGTCAGCTACGTCATACAAGGTCTGCCGCCCTTGCTGACACGGACCTGTTCTTTACCGCTTTACCTCTTGTGCTAGAAGAGCAGACGTCTGACCCTTTGGGGACGACACCCTCTCCCCTACTGTTCTTTCCAACTTGAGGCAAACTTTCTCCTACTTCCCAGAGCCTCTCAGAAATGGGTGAGGAAGCCTGGCCCTTGGAATCCAGAATCTTTTTCAGAACCTGGAACTCCTGTGACCTCTCAGGGTCTCCCCACACGAGGCTTTGCCTTCTGCTTCTCTGGGACCTTCGGTACTGGCGCCGTGCCTCACACGTCTCACTCACCACTGAATAAACTGTTAGTGTCTCCTGCAGAAGGCTCTTTTTATCTTAATTAAGAAAAATTTTTATTGAAGTACAGTCAATTACAATGTGTCAATCTCTGGTGTACAGCACAATGTCCCAGTCACGCATAGACATACATTTATATATTTGTTTTCATGGTTTTTTCCATTAAAAGTTATTACAAAATATTGAGCACATTTCCCTGTGCTGTACAGAAAGAACTCCTGCAGAAGGCTCTTACCTGGCCACAGCTAACCAGACGTCTATGTGCCAGAGCAACACTGCGCATGAACTACCTGAAAGCCATTGCAGCCTGTTCGCTCCCACAGCCTCAGACCACAAAGGTGGGGAAACAAACTTTCACGTGCCCAGCATCCCTTGCTGTCCTTTATCTCCGTGGTCTCAGATCAGTCAGCCACTCTCCCCTCTCCCTGCGTGTTCTTACCTGGTTTGCACCACAACCCTTCCTGTTTTCTGACAGATCTTTTTCTCATATTCCCTCCCCTCCTAATAGCTCTCATTTCACCCTCTCCTCTAGCTTGTTGTACTCTGACTTTTTAAAACATAAGAGGAAACAAAACAACTTTTAGTTTGCCCTGTTTCTTCAAAGATGTAACGTGACGTCTTTTTATAGTCCAAGTTCAAAATCCTCCAGCCACCCATTGCATCCAACTCCTCATCATGAAGGTAGTGTTGGAGGAAAGGGTAAACAGAATGTATGTCATTCCCAGCTTCACAAAAGAGACAAGGTGGTTTCAGCTTAAAACCACAACCACTGCACTGCTCCTCACGAGTTCCCAGGTCAGGAATTTGGGCAGCACTCAGCTGGACGCTTCTCCTGCCCTACCCCACTGGTGGAGATTACCTAGTGTATTCAACTGGCAGGTTGGTTTATCTGAAGAGTCCAAGAGAGCAGCCCTCTAATGTCTGGTGCCTTGGTGGGGAAGACTGGAGGTGCCTACCTGGGGCCTCCCCAGCATGGCAGCCTCAGAGAAGTTGGATTTCTTATATGGTGGCCCAGGGCTCCAAATGTTCCAGTGAATAAGATCAAAGGACTTTATGATTTGGCCTTATAAACCGCATAGCATCAATTCTATCTTACGCTATGGTAAAGCATTCACAAGACTGCCCAGATGCAAAAAGAAGAGACGTGGACCCTCACCTTTTGATGGGAAGAATTTGCAGTTATGCTTTAAAACCACTATAGATGGAACCACTGTGAAGGACAGTGGGTAGAGTTGGTAGGGTTGGGTTGTGGGCTGGAGACTAACCAGTTGATAGCAGAAGTTCACCAGAGTTATCAAGGAATAATGCCCCCTTTTATACATTTGGTCATACTCTACAAAACATTCTAAATCTTTGCTTAGCCATCAGCCTCACCACCTAATAATGCCTCCACAGTTGTACCCCTACGGGGGCCAATTATGTTAGAGCCAAATCCAATAGGCTTTTCTTTGTTTTTGTCTTCTTTTGACATTTTTTTCTGAATAGTACACTTGTCAATCTTTCCTTAATTATATTCTTAAATACCACAATTCCATGACAGGGGACGCTGTTCCTTTCCTAATTGTACCTTTGACAAGGCCATTCTTCCTAGACCATAACTCTTGGTACCCCTCAGTACCTCTTTTCCTAGCCCTATTATACTCACTCCCATGTAATGTGTAGCCTCTGTCATCATCTCCATACTGCTGACTCTCAAGTACCTCCCAGCTTTGATTTCTCACTCTTTGCCTATTATATGCAGTTTCCTATGGTAGCTCTATAAACACCCTTCTCTTCAAACAATTCCAAGAGTTTAAAATCCGACTTCATGTCTTTGCCCCTAAAATCACCTCCCCTTATCAACTGCCTCATGACAGTCAGTTGGCACCATCACTGAGCCTACTACCATGTTATTAAACTTAGAGTCATATCTGAAAAATCTTTGACTCCATACCTAGCTATTCATAAAGCTGTCTGCCAGATGAAATGTGACATCTAACGGAGGGCACCTGACAATCTGTAAAGTACGAGACAGGCATGAGTCCACATTCAGAACAGATTTTCAGGGTCTACTCTCAACTGGCTTCATTTGGGTTTTACAGCTTTATCTCTTACCAACTTCTTACCCTGTCTCTCTCTCCCCTCCCCTCCCTCCTCCGTCCTCTG